ATATAACATTAGAACCTAATAATTGTTTTTGTAATAATTGGTTTTGTAATATTTCTTATGAAAAAGTAATTAAATTTAAATATTTATATAAATATTTATTAAAAATACCTAAAAGTAACGTTCCCATGAGAAAGTGACTTCCAAGCCTTCGAACTTTATGCAAATATTACAATAAAATGACAACGTATTTTGTACATGTATAAAACAATTCACTTAAAGTTAAAGTTTTAAAACATAATAAATAACAACGACAGCGACCCTCAAAATGACAATTATGTATTAGAAACTTGTACATGGATGTGTTTTCTATTAATTGTGTATACATGTTTTATTTATAATTTTAACTTTTTCACTTTCTGCCAAGTTTTGATAGTTATGGTCCCACTGTACGCCGATTCTCCATGACAAATTTAGAATCATCCTTGCGACATATGCGACAAAAGATTCCGATTCCCGAATTTTTTGTCGCATATGTCGCAAAGGTAATCCTTCTTGGTGTTGTAGATGTTTTATCTTTGTGTCGGCGTATATAAGCACGGTAGCTTTACTGGTTGGAAAATTACAGAGCTTACAAATCTTATCTGTATCTATAATCGATAGGTGCAACTCTTTTGGTTTTGAACCGTTTAATATTCTCTTCAAGACACGCATTAGATTCGTTCACTTTGTGCATATTTTGAAATGTCTTTTGTCCCTTTTGCGCGCGTCTGTCTAGCAAGGGTGGATATTTTGTCCTTCCTATTGTTTTTATTTGTTTGCTTGCCAGTTAATTTATCCGACGAATGCATTTTGGGAAATGTATTTATGCGAGATGATGAACGTTCTATTGATTTATCTTTAGCAATATTTTATGTAATAGAGATACACTTTGAATTTTCGTCGAGCATATTGACTTCTCAGAATCGAAATGATTTTATTACTGCGTTTTCCGTTGAACATCTTGTACCTTTATCTAGAAAATAAGATTATTGTTTAGTTTTCCAAAGGTGCGTTATCTTCTTCTTTAATCTAAAAAAATGTAAGCATATAATAATATTTTTTAATATTTATAACATTATCGGAAAAATTTATATTACGAATCCTCATTACATTAGTGTTGTATCATTGACGGTTCAATTATTCTTAAATAAAAAACGTAACAGAAGAAATTAAATTCTTTTATTCATAAAAGAATTCTTTATTTTCGAGTATTTTAGTTCACTTTTTATTTGTAAATGGGTATTAGGATATTCAATTATAAAAGCAAATAAAATAGAACTAATAAATAAATATATAATAAAAGCAATTATGAAACTTTGTGCGCGCGTATAATATTTATTACATATAAAGATTTAATAAATATAAGTCTTAATTTTATATGCACAAGAAAGTATATCTTAAAAGGAGATATTCTGATAACTAAAAGAAAGTGGACTTATGATGTAGAGAATATAAATTATTTAATTATAAATTTTTATCTGTCAAATAAAAGTAATTTATAATCAAACAAACAAAACATGAAAAGCATCCATTATATTTCTTTCTAACTATTAAATATATTCACTAAATTTCATATTAAGAGAAATTTACTTGTTGCATAGAACATTGCTAAGTATTTTTTTTTGCATGAGAGAAACCTGTGTCAGGTACCAAGTGCCCCACGAGGAAGGAACACTGGTTATATTTCAACCTAATTAATACTTCTAAGATATAAACAGAAATATCTTTGATCTATAAAATATACTACCAAATACTATATTTTTGTCTGATAATTTTAAAATATTTCCTAAAACCTACTTGGTTTTTACGTTTCCTTCAGTCAGTTCAGTCTTGTCTTTCCGATGATATTTAACAAATTTTGCAGCACATTTTGATGTTATTCAAAATTAAAATTTAATACACAGTTTTGTCATTTTACCTAGTTATTCTATATATTTTTTTTTTAATAGCACATATTTGCTAAAAAATATTACTTCTTTTAATATAATGGTACAATTAAAATATAAATAATTTTTACATAATTTACCTTTTTCTGCAAGAAACTTTTCAATCCATATTTTATTTGTACGTTGACATTAATTTTTTCGGTTGAGTTTCTCGCTTCAGGTTTTTTTTCCACTTTTTGTGTAGGACAAGATTCTAATCGATTGAACGTTTCCCGATTTTGTTCTTTCAAATTATTACTATGTATAATTATATTTTGTGCGGACATATCCACAACAGAGTTGGCAAAATATCAATTAAATTTTTTAAAATTGAACAAATGATATAAAAAGATTTAATTAAAATATTTTGAATTGACGATTAATTTTAGAAAGATTAATTAGAGATCGTTACAATGACGATTGATATAAGCTAGATTAATTGAAGATCGCTTAATTAACGATTAATATGATCGAAATCAATTAAAGGTTATTTAATTGACAATTGATATAAACGAAATTAATCGGAGAACCATCGATTAAACGATTAATACAAGCTAATTTAATTGAAAGTTTTTCAATTAAACGATTAATATGAGTTAATTTTAATTAGAAGTACGTTAATGGACGATTGAAAAAAACAGATTCAATCGAAGACAATTCAATTGACAATTGATTTGAGCAGAAACAATTAAAAAGTATATAATTGACGATTAAATATAGTAAATTTAATGCGAATCTCTTCCATTAATGATTGACTTAAGAAAATCTATATAATTTCTCTATTTCCATTAATTAACTATGTGTAACGATTAATAAAATTTAAATAAATTTAATCGAAGATGTTTGATTGATGATATTATAATTTAAATTCAGTCATGTTATAATATCATCAATCAAACATCTTCGATTAAATTTATTTAAATTTTATTAATCGTTACACATAGTTAATTAATGGAAATAGGAAATTATATCGATTTTCTTAAGTCAATCATTAATGGAAAAGATTCGCATTAAATTTGCTATATTTAATCGTCAATTATATAGGGGAGAGTGGGGAGTTGGGAGACATGGGGAGTTCTGAGACACGTCAATCTCCGCCATACTAAGAGAGTTAGAAATGTTCCAAAAAGTATTAAATGTTTCTCTTGAAGTAACTTCACTTTTCCGTTTGCATTCGTCGCGTCGACACGTATGCTAAGCGTTTCTTGTTATTATGCGAACAACAATAGTCCGAAAAGTTTTTTCGACCATTTGTGTGTGTGTGATATTTTTACGCACGATTTGAAGCTGATTGCAAAAGTAAGTAAGTGCAAATATATCAGTGGGCGATTGTCTTGTCACACACAAAAGGAATTGTAGATGAACATTCGGTGTGTCGATGGCAATGCGGCCAGTCTGAAAATGTCCAAAGTGGGGAGTTGTGAGACACAAACAGTGGGGAGTTGTGAGAGTGTCTCACTTAGTGTCTCACAAATGGCCAGCACATCGGCTGCAGTTCTTCGCAGTGCATTGCAAGATGTTAGACCTCTCAAACACAATACACCGGCCAAAAAATCCAAGTGAGGCCGCAAGTCAATGGAAACTACCATTTTGACTTCGCCTGAAAATATGGCCAGCTTACACAAGAAAGCTGAGGACAAGCGGGCAAAGCAGGCAAAAAAAGACGAGAAACAGAAGAAGCAAACGGATGTGGCACCACCGAAAAAGCGCAGTCGTGCACTTTCCATTCCAGAAAAAGCGATGTCAACTCCATCTGAAGAGGAAGACTTCTGCATTATCTGCAAAGGTGCAATGCCAAAGAAATTGAACCGAAACAACTCAATACATTGCAATGTATGTGATCGGGCTGTGCACTTGAAGTGTGCCTGCATAACAACCGGCTATTATACCTGTGTTCACTGCGAATCGAACTAACCGATTCGCAGTGAACACAAGGATTCAGCGAACTAAGCCGACTTTGTTTGTTGTTCAATATTTTTTTCGTCACAACTGTCTCCATTTCTATTTTTCACAACTTCAATAAAACTTCATCATAAAAATATGCCATTTTCTCCCATATTTTGTCATGTCTCACAACTCCTCACTATTTTTGAAACTTCGAAAATCATTCCTTTTTTACGAGCCATTTAAATACAACCGCTGTGAATTTCAACGAACTGTTACAGCCAATAGTTGTATTGTGAAGTCTACTACATATCCTACTTTACAGGTTTGCAAACTACCGATTTTTATGGTAGTTATGCTTCAAAAACAAAACCCGTCTCCCAACTCCCCACTCTCCCCTACTTTTTAATTGTTTCTGCTCAAATCAATTGTCAATTGAATTGTCTTTGATTGTTCTGTTTTTTCAATCGTCCATTAAAGTACTTCTAATTAAAATTAACTCATATTAATCGTTTAATTGAAAAACTTTCAATTAAATTAGCTTGTATTAATTGTTTAATCGATCGATTAATTTCGTTTATATCAATTGTCAATTAAATAACCTTCAATTGACTTCGATATTAATTGTTAATTAAGCGATCTTCGATTAATCTAGCTTCTACCAATCGTCATTGTAACGATCTCTAATTAATCTTTCTAAAATTAATCGCCAATTCAATATATTTTAATTACATTTGATTACATCTGTTTGTAATTAAATGTCATAATTAATTAATCAGCATCTCTGATCCACAAATATACATCAAATATTGTTTATATTTAAATGTACGTTTATATGATAAAGATATTTTACGACGGCTAAACAGTTAATATAAATTAATTTGTTTTTGATTTGTAAAGAGACACATTTAGATCATGAAAATATGGTATAAATAAAATGAAAGTTTTTAATAGAAATATGACAGTATTTTGAAAAAAGTTTGGGTACGTATCTTCAATAAAAATTATTTTATGTGCTGTACTTTTTTACCGTTAAAATTGAATGAAAAACAACGCAAAGAGACGAACTACAATTAAAAAAGGCGCTCAGGAATAAAATTACAGTACAATTACAATACAATTTAACAAAATAATAGTCAATGCACTTATAAATTATCTCTAGTTATATATATATATATATATATATATATATATTATATATATTATTTCGCAATAAATTATTTAAACAACGTAAAAATTTCTAATTGATTTTAGTTAAAAAATAGTTAGGTCTCCATCTCTTCGTCGATCCAGGGCCTCCACATCTTTAAAGCTGGGCCTGTACACGCTCCTATGCGTTTGTGAAGTTTGAGATCATATTCACGCTTGTAACTCTTGCCGCATTGACACTTATACGGTTTTACCTCGGAGTGCACAGTTTTCTGATGTCTGATTAACGTATTCTTGCGGATAAAATGCTTGTCGCATTGGTCGCATATGTGATTTTTCGCGCTCTTGTGCACCGATAAATGTTCCACCATACGAGATTTATTCAAACATTTCTTCCCATTATAGACGCGCTTGTGCCGGAGGTCATCTGTATGACGTTTGACGTGACGATACAAGTCATGCTTAGAAATGTGTGCTCTGTTACAAATGTCACACACGTACAGCCATTCACCGGTATGAATACGCCGATGGTCCTCCATGGCGAACTTATCCCTGAATTTTTTGTCACATATGTCGCAAGAATGATCCTTCTTGGCGTAGTGGATGTTCTTTTGATGATGAATCAAACTATCAAGCGTATTGAATTCCTTAGAGGAGGGACGACACTTATACTGTGTCTTGTCTTTGTGTTGGCGTATATGAGCACGGTAGCTTTGCTGAGAGGAAAATGTTTTATTACAGGGCTTGCAAATCCTGTCTGTATTGATGGGCAACCTTTTGTCTTTGGACTGTTTAACATTCTCTTCAAAGCACGCATTAGATTCGTTCACTTTGGCACCTTGGCATTTTGTCGCTATGTCATTAGTCTTTTTCATGCAACTACTTGCGCGCGTCTGTTTAGTAGGAATGTAATCTTTGTTGTTTCTATTTTTGTTTAAATTTTGTGGAATTAAATTCGAATTAGGCCCGACTGGAATTTCTCGCGATTTTCTAATCCCTAAGTTTGAGCATTTGTGATTTTTGAGATCACATTTACGCTTATAACTCTTGCCGTATTTACATATATACGGTCTTTCCTCGGAGTGCACTATTTTTTTGTGCTGCTTTAACACGTCCTCTCGGGCAAAGCGCGCGCCACATACATCGCACATTTGATTCCTCTCTCTCGTGTGTTTTGTCGAATGTAATAGCACATCCCGTTTACTTATAAATCCTTTGTCGCAAAAGACGCACCTGTACGGGAGATCGCCTATATGAATCTGAATGTGTATCCTCAAGTTGGTTTTGCATCTGAACAACTTGCCGCACATGTCACATAAGTAAGGGCGTTCACCAATATGGATACGCCGATGGTCTTCCATGGCGGTTTTACCAGCGAAGCTTTTGTGACATATGTCGCAAAAGTAATCTTTTAGGTCGTAGTGGATGTTCTTTCGATGACGAATTAGACTACTAAGCGTACCGAAATCCTTAAGGCAGAGATGGCAGTTGTATTCTGCCTGATTTTCGTGCCAGCGTATAAGAGCACGTTTAATGTGAAACGCTCCCTTGCGGCGATTGACGCATTCGCGTGAGGGATCGTTTGTATGAGTTTTAACGTGTAATTTTAAGTTCTGTCTAAAACGGAATGACCTGTTACATATGTTACATATGTAAGGGCGTTCACCAGTATGGATACGCCGATGGTTCTTCATGGCGGTCTTGTCCACGAATTTTTTGTCGCATATGTCGCAAAAGTAATCTTTTAGGTCGTAGTGGATGTTCTTTCGATGACGAATCAGATTATGAAACGTCCTGAATTTCTTAGAACAGGAATGACACTTGTACTGTGTCTTATCTGCGTGTTGGCGCATATGAGCATGATAGCTCTGTTGTAAAGAAAATGTTTTATTACAGAGCTTGCATATCCTGTTTATATCATTGATAGGTGCAACTCTTTTGGCTTTGGATTGTTTAACATTTTCTTCCAGACACGCATTAGATTCGTTCACCTTGGTAGTGCACCTCTTCGGGATGTTTAACGTTTTTTTCTTGCAACTTGTTGCGGGCATCTTTCTAATAGTAATACAGTTTTTGTTCTTTCTATTTTTGTTTTTCTGCTTACCACTTGATTCATCCGTGGTGATTTTGCCCGCGAAGCGGTAAAACATTTTCGTTACGACACGCATTATGTTTGTTCGCCTTGATACCTTTTGGTATATCCTTGGGATGTTATTTATCTTTTTCTTGCAACTTTTTGCGGACGTCTGTCTAACAGGAATGTAACTTTTGTCCTCTTTATTTTTTTTTTCTCTTGCCACTTGATTTATCCGATAAACTCATTTTGGGAAATGTATTTATGTGAGACGAGCGTTTCTTTGATTGATCGTTGGCAATATATACTTTTGTTTCTTCGACGAGCGTAATGACATCTCACTTTGGATCGAATTGATATTATTAATGTATTTTCCGTCGAGTATTTTGTACTATTATCAAAAGTAACGATCCGTTGTCCAATTGTTAATAATTTAATTCTGTAATCAATAAAAAGTTACTATATATATATATGTTATCAAACAATCCTTATTACAAATATTTATTAAATTAGCATTTCATTATTGGCGTTCTATTCAATTTTTATCAAATACAAAGTGTATATAAAACTGATCATAAAATTATGTTGACAAAATTTCGTATTATCTAGAGATTTAATTAATTTGTATTTGTAAATATTTGCATATAAAATTATTACTATAATGCAATTTTGTATATAATATTTATATACGGGGTGATTCAAAAATCCGGCAACGGCCAATTATCTCCAAAAGTAATGATCCTATGAAAAAATGTTAAATACAAAAGTTGTAGGGCTCAAAATAATGCACTTAATAGCAACTTTGACTTTGATTAATGGGTTAAATTTAAAAGTCATTTCAGGGTCAACTTTAATTTTTTTAATGAAACCCTCTATTTTTCGTTGCATATTCTTATAGCTTACCTCTTAGCTTATAGTGTTTTGAAAGCTTTTCAACTATATATTTCACTATAAAAACATTTTTTCATTAAGTACTTTTCCAATTATAAAGTTAGAAAATAAAAATTTTTTGTCATGAAATGTAAAATATTTTGCCAAATATTTAGTTTTCAGTAATCATTCCTTAATATTTTTATGCACGGAATAATGAGACTAATCAATTGTGAAGAAAACACGTAGTTGCTTTTAAAAAATATGTTGCAAATTACGTACATTCTTGTTAAATTCCATTTGAAAAAATTAAGTTGAGCTTGAAATGACTTCTAACTTTGACTCCCTAGGTCAATATCAAGGTCACCATCAAGTACCTTAGTTAAACTTTTTTTTAATTTCATGTATTTTGAGCCCAATAACTTTTGCATTTAACATTTTTTTATAGAACCACTATTTTTGTTGATAATTGGCCGTTGCCGGACTTTTGAACTATTTTGTATATAACACATAAATATTCTTTAATAAAAATATTTGTCATTATTATATTACAATAATTTCACTGAAAAAACATATTTTTTTGTAATTAAAAAAATATACATATGATAATGAAGAACATTATTTATCATTTTATATTTACTAATGAACAACCGCATGCATTATAATTACTAAACTCCTCATATCAATGGAAATTCACTTGTACCAAATACACACAACACTGTTAGACATGCTTAAAGATATATAAAACTGCTAAAATGTAAGCAGGAATGTTTTTGATCTACCTGTCTGATATAGTGTTTTTATCGAATATTAAAATATTTTCTAAAATTTACTTACAATTAGACTGGTTTACTTGTTATTTAACAAATTTTACAACAAAATTTGGTGTCAATTTCAAAATTATTGAATATTACCATAAAGTAATGTTATTTTATGTAATTATTCTATATATCTTTATATTTTGTAGCATTTAATCAAAGCTTATTTTTGTTTCATTATTTTTCAATTATAATTGTCTAAAAAATATTTATTTTTTTATTAATGACAAAATTATATTGAATATAAATAATTTCCACACAATTTACTTTTGTTACAGGAATCTCTTCAATCCATATTTTAATTATCCATAAACAATTTCTTTTTCATATTACTAGAACACTACAAAGCGCGCGCACTATTTATTTCCTTTTGTTATGCATATTGGATTAATTACTATATTATGCATTATACTGTACATTATATTTTTTAATACTATATTTATTATATTATTATATTATATATTTTATATACGTATAAATTCAAGTATACATATTAAGTCTCTTTTTTATTCAATAATCTCATTTATATAATCTCACAATTCTATCTACTACCCACTAAACACTAAGCAACAGTAATATAACACCGATGTGATATTAAGCGTCATCTACAATGTCTTGGCATAAGAAGTAAGAGTAGGCGTAAAAGAGCTACTTACCGGTTTAAGAGAGCTGGAGTAAGGCCGTAAGGGCACATAGAATTCCATAAAACATAACCATGTGGTCTACAACCCCGCTTTATGGCTATGTTTTATGAAATTCTATACCAACCAGATAGTCGTTTTAGATTTAATATGCTAAGGAAACGCAAAATTACTAAAAATTTAAGTATAAAAAGAATTTCAATCGATTGAAATTTTTACACACACAAAATCTGTAAATGTGTTGGAATGGTGGCTCAAAAGATTTTCCGTTTCCTTAGCATATTAAATCTAAAACGATTATCTGGTTGGTTTTTGAGCTTATGCTATGTATTATGTCTATATTTTATGGAAATCCGTGTGCTATAGCCTTAAGCGAAGTGAATTATTTTTATTTCTTACGTCTACTCTTACTCTTACGCTTACACTCGACCAATTAAAACACAGGAAGGAAACTCAGGAAGGTTAGAGTACGAAAAGATTGCTTGAAATGTCTATCGTATTGTTGATTAAGTCGGCGTAAACAGCTTATGCCAAAAACATTAATCCTACTCATACTTTTTACGCCAAGCTTACTCCATCTATTGTAGACGACACTTATTTACTATTACCTATTGTTTAGTGGATATTGAAACATTCGATGTAATTAAGATACTTTATATATATATTGAAAAAAAAACACAAGTCATATATACATATATATATATATATATATATATCGATATATCGCATGTACATTCAGGTAAGATTTTCTTTTTAAAGAAGTTACATTTATAAATTGCAACATTAATTAGAGCGGATAAGACGCTGTTTAAAAATATTAATCTAATTAATACTGTAAGTAAATCTATCATTTTTTATATCTAATATTTATTTATTTTGTTATTTATTCCTATCATCTTTCATTTCTTTGATTGTTCTTTCCTTTAGATTTAGCTTCATTAGTTTTTATATCTTTGGACATTTACTTTTCTTTTTATTAATCTTAACAGATTCCTTAACAGCACACATATCCAAAAGACGTTTATAGTATATCTTGAGGACAACATATTATTATAATTTATTATATTATTAGTTTATTATTGTTTATATTATTAATTAAACATTTGCTGTAATTAATTGTATTAATTTTTTTCGAAGTAAAATTATTATAATCATTATACAATATAATATACTAAACATTAATATAATTATTATAATCATTAATATAAAATATTAATAATTATACATATATATCATTTTCCAACAGTTTATTTGTAAACATAATATATACAAAACAAAATATATTAATTATAATATCATACAATAATTAAAATATAATAATTATATAACATAACGATAATAATAACAATAATCAAAATTACAAAATGATTATATAATATATAAATTATATAATAAATTATATAACATAACGATAATAATAACAATAATCAAAATTACAAAATAATATAATATAATAATTAATAACAATAATAAATTAAAATTGAAGTATAATAAATACAACTAAGGAAGGCCTTAAGAGCCATACGCGGATGTTTCTACGTACATTCCAACAAAAATAATTTTTTTCGTTGGAAGTAAACAATTGTGCACAAAGCACGTATTATTCTTGGTGTACTACCAATACTTGATAATAAGAAATAATCTCTTCTCGATTCAGCGACTTTCGGATCTATATTTTTTTCTCGCATTTATTTCTTTATTTATTTTTTGGGAAGGGAGGTTAGAAGGGTTTTAAAAAATTAAATCTCAAGTAAGAGATTATTTCTTATTATCAAGTCTTGGTAGTACACCAAGAATAATATGTGCCTTGTGCACAATTGTTTATTTGCAACGAAAAAATTTATTTTTGTTGGAATGTATGCAGGAACATCCGCGTATGGCTCTTAAGTCCTTCCTTAGTTGTATTTATTGTTAATATTAAAGAGTCTTGATATACATATAATCTTTGTGTTAAAATTTATTAATAATAAATAATAAATTAATAATAATTATTAGTTGAAATTTCTATCTGCAGAATACATATTTCCAAAAAAATATTGAAAAAGATGTCAATGAATAAGATGTAGATCCAATAAGTTTGTTTTCGATAAATATAGCATTAGATATTATTAAAGTTTTTGGTTCCACTGTGTCAGTCTAATACAAATTTTTAAAACTAATTTTTACTTATATATACAAATTTTTATTTTTATTTTTTAAAATTAAATATAATTTTTAATTTTATTTTAAAATTTATTATGTATAAATAAAAATCTTTCCTCAATGGTAAAAGTCGATCAAACTGGCAATCATTTATTATAAATAATTAGTTAAAATACAACGTTTCGGCTGTCATTGCAGCTCTTTTTAAGTAGATCAAACGTAAATGCATAATAAATTAATACAATAAATAAATTCACTGCATACCACCGACAATATTCACAATTGTTTTAATGAACAATGTAGAATTAACGGTAGTAAGAAAGGAATAAATAGATGTTAACAGCTAGCAAGAATCTTAGTCGTGACTAAGATTCTTGCGACTAAGATTCTTGCTAGCTGTTAACATCTATTTATTCCTTTCTTACTACCGTCAATTCTACATTGTTCATTAAAACAATTGTGAATATTGTCGGTGGTATGCAGTGAATTTGATTTATTGTATTAATTTATTATGCATTTACGTTTGATCTACTTGAAAAGGGCTGCAATGACAGCCGAAACGTTGTATTTTAACTAATTATTTATAATAAATGATTGCCAGTTTGGTCGAATTTTACTATTGAGGAAAAATTTTTATTAATTATTACTGGCGAACCTTAAGGATTATTATCTGTTTTATTATGTATGTTCGCATTTTTAATTTTCAAGTCATGATCAATTTAAAAATGTAAATATATGCTGAAATGATCAATTATGTTGATGGGATTGAGTCGTCACGACGTAGGAAATAATAATGAATATAAAATTTAAAAATTTTTTATTAATAACAACCGATCGTGTACAAGTAATTGCACGGAACGACAATATAGATTGTGTAGAATCTTTGGTACAAGCTAATTGTGTGAGTGTCATTATTTATAAAAACATTATTTATTAATTTAAGAGTTTAACAAGGCTCTGTAATATAA